GTTGTATTATAGACATATCAAATAACAGGATTGTTATGTTCATCCATGGTATTGACTCTGAAATTCTCTTAGAATAATTACTTTCAGGGACTCAAATTCTGCAGGTGTTTTTTTTTTTTTTGTGGGTTATTTTTTTTTCTTTTAATCCTGAGGTTTGGCTTACAGTCAATGTCTTTCTAAAGTGGTAAGTTCAACTCAGAAACTTACTACACATTTAAGAATCTGGAGAAAACAGCGTTATTTTGAAGTGATCTAAATCTGTGAGTAAGTGAACTTACATTGAGAGGTGGAAGGTAGAAGCCACTATGGCACAAAGAAAATCCTTCTCCTAATGATGTTGCTTCAGCAGAACTTCCTCTTTCAAAAGCTGCCTTTTTTGAGGCTACTGGATTTAATTTTACAGACTTCATGGTGTTTTCTGGTGCCCATGCCCACCAGAAGGCAAGTCATTAAAACTTAATCATGGCCTGATAGTCAGAGTGATGAAGACCTGCAGTTCCCGTGGACTTATTTGCATCAAAGGGAGCAGTAGCTCATTGCTGTTCTAGAAAGTAGTCTCAGAGTGTCCAAAATTGGGTTATCAGACCTGAGGTACCAAAGTCATAAAGATAATCTTGGAACTATAGACTTGAAATTTATTCAGCACGCTTTCTTAGAGACTTTGTCTGTACAATTTTGTCTTTGCGTTTGCTTGCACAGCAGTAGGAATATATTTGAAACTTGTAATAATTAAGGATTAAACATGCATATTAAAGTCACCCTTAAGTCTTGACTTGCCTTGGCTCTCACTTCAGATTTCAATGTCAGGGCAAGAGTCTGCCTTTCAGATCTCATGGGATACCACGAACTTGAGCATGCCATTTGGGCTTGTATGGCAGCAGGCAGTCAGATGCATTCAAGAACATGTGGGTGAATGAAGGTAGGGATACAAACCCTCCTGTGCATAGTCATTGATTTGACACTGTGTACACAAAGCCATAAATCCTTTAGGGATTAATGCTAAGGCCATTTATCTATTATGTATCCTAGGATGTGAAAGTGTCTGCATGCAAAATGGTATCTGTGAGCATTAAAGGTTCTTTATTTCCCTAAAATATCAGCAGCTTTCAAATTAATGAAATGAATCAGAAAGAAAAGTATCACACAAATTTAAAAGAAAGCACCATATGTAGTTAAACTACAAAGACTTGTGTATCCTTGATTAAGTCTTTCTGACAGTTCCCATCTTTGCCTTCAGACATTCAGTGTTGATACAGTAAAGACATGTTGCCACACTGAGCCCTAAAACAAAACTGAGTCCCAACTGGGAGGAAAACAGACAGATTTTACTTCATTCCCTGAGCATCCCAGAAAATATTATGAACACTGTCAATCTTCCACCTCAGTATCCTCATGCCTGGTGAGCAATAACCTGCAGTGTTACTTACTGGGTAAGTTTTACTTTTTTGTGTAAAAAGTCTGACATGGGATGTAAAGTACTAAACCAATATAGAAGTATGATACCCATGTCTCAATCTTTCTGTAGGGTCATTACTCATCAAGAAGAGATATTTCCTATACAGTCTGCCTGCACTATTTGCTCTGTTCTGCTGGCATCTAGCATCATGCCGAAAGAGAGTAAATCTTACTCATTTTCTTGCCTGCAGAAAGCAGGACGACATTGCCCACGGCTGCAGGCGGTGGTTTAATCTATTCTTTGGTGCTCTGTGAAAAAAATTTTTGGCCAAAAACTGTCTTTCAGGCTAGTGGGAAAAAATGCAGATATGTTCACAGACATATCTGTCCTTAAAATTAGATGTGTGTCTACAAAAAAGAAAAAAAAAATCAATTAACCTCTGTAATTTCTAGATAGTAAGAGAATCACTTGCATTTTGCTGCTCCCAGTTTACAATGTAATGTCTCTGTGGTCTAATATTCCTTTTTAAATTCATACAGCTTCTATAAGTAGGCCTGCATTCAGTATAAACTGAAGCTAAATATTTTTACCTCTTACAGTTTATATCAAATGATCTCTAAGCACTTCAGAATGAGCAGGTGCCTGATGATTTTTTGTCTTAGTTAAGTCTTTTGCAGATATGCAAATACGCACAAAATATGTTTACATTTGCGTATGAAGAACTACTTTTGAGTATGTGAACTATATAATTTTGGTTCCAAATGCTGTGCTTACCACATTTTACTTTCTCTCCACCCCCATTTTTTTAAATACAGCATTCCCCAAAGCTTTCTGCTGCACTTCTAGTAGAAGCGTTCATAGTGTTGGAATGCTTTTCCTCCTCCTGCTCTACAGTTTTTATCCAGATTAAATTCCTCAGTGATGTTGGAAAGAAGATAAGACACAGAGACTGCAAAATCATTTGCTTAATTTTAAAAAGGGTCTGTAGAAAAGCCATAAAGATGTGAAACTAAATGTATCACATTCCATATTTTATCACCTTGAAATTTTACTATTGGAAGTTACTTTTATTGCAATGCAGTTTCCTGATAGCTTTCAAAATAATCCATTTCTTCTAAGAGACAGGCAGTTCAGCTGTTTTTGTAAAGAAGTCCTTAAATATATCAATTTTCTGATAAGACATGAGAAACCTATTACTCTGCTCATCTTATCTATGAATTAAGTTATTGATATGCCCAAAACCTCATAAAATATTAAGAGTATAAATACAAGCAAACAACATCTCTACCTGAATCATTCTAAGTTTGAAGTTTATAGGTCATGCTTTACTTCAAGAGCACATAGTAACTTGCAAAAACTGCTTGGGATCTTTCTTTTGGCCCACTGCTGTGCTTCTGTTCCAGACAGAACTAGCATTAAACTAATCTCTTTGACTCTTAATAATATATGTATCGTAACCACCAAAGAGTTTCCTTTATATTATGCCCCTTACCAAGCTCTGGCATCTAAATACTTCTGACTTTACTGAGCAGTGAAAGTTAATTCAGTCTATGTTTTACCTGCATCCATTCTGTTGATCTTTGAAGCTTTTGAAAAGCCTATTTTAAATCAGAACTTTGACTGAAAGAGCCTGAGGGTAAATATGCAGTGAATATTATGGATGATTAATATTTAGGAGATGAGTGATCTTCTGAGAACAAAGGTAAATGAGTACAAGCCCCGTTTTCTGTATGCCAGCTGCCGACAAACACTCTTGCAGTCTCCTTATGTAGGGGCTCCTTATTAAGCTCATATACAAAGAAAATGAGCCTTTGAGTTGCTTGCAATGACTGTTTTTAAGAGAATTTGCTATTTGTAGTGCATTTCACCCTAATTCAAAGCAACGATTGGCACTTAACAGTTGCCGAAGAGATATAAAAAAATTTTCGCATGTTGTGTAAAGCACCAAAAATATTACTATAGAAAAGTAATATCCAGTAGCAGCAATAAAAATTGGCACTGAAATAGATTCTCTCCTTTCGCTTTCCTTCTTTTTACTCCCTACAAGCAAGCATGACTCTTAGATACTATGCCGTACAAAAAAAGACCACGGTATAGTTGCAATAATGTTAAAAATGGATATCTCCAGCTCTCCATTCAGCAGCATTGAAAGCTCCAGGTACAGTCATAAAGAAAAGCATTAGGCTTGTCTGTGTTCGTTTAGAATGGCTGGTCACCAGAGTCATAGGGTGTTTTATGATATGGCATATTAGATAGGATGTCTGGTCAAAAGTAGTATAGGATGAACATCCAGAAGTTTGGTATGCATGAGCATTTATGTCTTTTCTCCCAGAGAAAAATGTTGTTGACACAAAAGCAGAAACAACATCAACATGATTGCAATGAGTGATGGGAATAAATTTTTTGTTTGTTTATTGATTTTTTTCTCATGGGGTATTTTCATAGTTTACTTTGACTTGAGTTCCTGCTATACACTCTCCTCTGAATGTATAGGAACATCCAGTCTCTGCGTACTGGTGTTAGTGCCTGTTACACTAGGCCCCAGGTGGAGCAAGTAGGAGAAACCAGGAGGCCCAGTATGAGCTCCTGTGTCTGTGGAAATTCTGCCTGAATTCAGAGAGGGGGGGTATACTCCTGGTACTCTCTAAGTTTTGAACTTCAAAAAATGGTTTTGGAAATATAACAGGCTAAATTTGTTCCTTTCTTTCAAAATGTGGTACTTCCAGATAACTATCTATAGATCAGTGATCTGCTCTAATTTGCTGCAAAAAATGTAAAGCTTAGGTTTATTAGGTACTCTGTGCTTTCTTAAGATGAAATTTGTCTAAGGGGTCATAAATGAAGACTGCCTTTCTGATGGGTCACCCTCAGAATGAGTACCTCAGTCTTGAGGTACTTGTACTTCTGTCCATATAGCCAAAGGAAATAATTTTTTTTTACGTAAACCCAATGCAAATGAATAGTTTTAATCCTCTGTCAAGGTGGGCTGTTGTGATACAGAATCAATCAAATTCTGCAAGTTAAATGGCATTTGTTTGAAGACAACAAACTTTCTGTCAACATCATATTATGTTGAGAAGGAACTTTTTTTTTCAATCCCATATGAAAAAAAGAATTGATGTTTTAGCGTTTCTTATATGACGGTAGCATTGGTATTGTGATGACTTGCTCTTGAATCAAATTTAAGATCTGTCCGTATGTCTATTTCCTTAAAGAAAATGTTTTTTCTTTAAAAAAACAAGCATGGGGTAATGATCTATTACCAGGCCTGAAAAAAATGAACATCTATGATAAAGCTCTGCATCTGATAATAGCTTCAGAAAGGCAGTAAAAGTCTCAGCCTGTGACACTCAAACAGGAAAAAAAGTACAGCAAAGATTAATAGACAAATTCATACAAAAAAAGAATTTGTATTTATACTGGAGATAGGATTTAGAAATTGTATTAAAAATTAATACGCTGTGAAAAAATACAGTTAGTGAGAGAATGCAGGAATGACTAATGGCTCAGCAGCATACACATAGGTTCATGACCAGAGAGGGAGGAGGAATAATTTTTCCCTACCTTAGGTATAAGAATAAAGGCTCATAAAGGGAATATTTACCTAATTTGCATTTCTGGCATCCATCTGAACAAGGTATGCAATCTTCAGAGTCAGGATCTTCCACCTCACCTGTGTTTTACAAATCAACAGTTTGGGTTAATTCTAGGTAATAGAAGCCCAGCACTTGGAAGCATTTAGCAAGGTTCCTGGAAATAAGCTTTATCCAAATCCAAAAAGGAGAAAGATTCACAGGAACTTCTTTTGTCATTTGTTCTGGTGTAACCCCACCCAATTTGCAGAAAATACTCCTATTTTACATTAACATGGTATTAGAAGAGAATCGGACCTGCAATTTAAGGATCTCAGGATCAGGTGTGATTGTATATTACAAAACAGGAACCAAGATGCTTAACCAGATTTCTGAAAAAAACCCAGAATATTTGTAAACTCCTACTGAAGGATACTTACCTCCTTTACAGCTATGCTTCTGACATATATTTTGAGTAAGGTAGTAGCCTCTGAAACATCTTTTGCAGTAACTGGAGTTCAGGCATACCTCACAGTGGCTAAAGCAAGCCATGCAGATATGATCTGAATGGTAGTGACCTGAAGGACAGCTCTCTCTGCACTCCCCGTGATACAGGAAACGTTCGATCCCTCTTCTATCTGTGTCACAGATAGGAATATGGTGTCAGCAACAGAGGAAAATTGGGCATAACAATCGTCTTAATGAAGCACCAGTGATGCAGCTGATGAGAATTGATATTGGTCACTGCTAGGTTTGCACAGATTTACACCAGATGAACTAAAATATATAAAAGATTCAGGACTTCAAACCTTCCTCATTCCTGGAGATATATGACATATAAAGATGTCATGCTAGTGGATAATTACTGTTTACATCCATCAATCTAAAAAAAAAAAAAAAGGATTAAGAGTTTTCCATTACTGAATTCCCTTGCAGTGGATATATTTTATTGCATATGCCCATGTAGAATTTCCATTAAGAAAGCAAAGCTGTCCACTTCACCTGTGGAAAGGATCAGTCTGTTTCCACAGTAGATTAATCTCTAACATTCATCCTAGTCACAGCTAGACTCTGGAATCATTCAGATTTGAATATGAATAGCAAATGCTTGTCATGTACAAATGCTATCAGAGAATTAGCATTCTCTAGTGCATGGAAAACTGAGAGTTCTTTTCCTGAAATCCGTCTGAACGAAACCTGTGAAAACACCTATGACTTGACAAGCCATGTGCTGCAACATGGGAATTTTTCTAACAAGTTAGCCCATAGTATGTATGACATACATTAGTGTGGTAAGTATGTTTTATTGCTTTACCTAAAAAGCAAGAATTTGGTTATGATAATTTGTTTTTGAAACAGCTATAATATAACAGAGAAGCAGCTATAATAGGGAATAATTGCAAGCAGAAGTAGTCAGACTTGTTTCAATTTTCATGTGAAAATCCTTATGGTGATCTTTTCTAGCTTGCTCAGGGTGTGACTCTTGTCAGTGTCTTCATTTCCTGATATACAGAAATACAGAAATTTATATTGCTGTCCAGTATACGGAGAGACTTGGGGAACAATTACAGCAACTTTTCCCTCATGCTGGACTTGAAGAATCATTTGAAACTTTCATCTACTGAGTCACATTTCCAAAAGTGGGAAAGTCAATCTCATCTTCAAATTAATGCCACCTGTATTAGTGTTTTCTTGTAATCTAGACACTTATTACAAAATAAAGCCTGGGTCATTAATGACTAGGACTGAAATGGAGGTAGCAGCTGAAAGCAAAAAGGCTGTGGATCCATTGTGATTTCTCAGAAAAAGCTCACCAAAAATTCCTCTTTATTAAGTGAATTTAAAGTTAAACCTTAACTACTCATTTTCAGTGGCAATTCAGGCTAGCTACGCATACTTGTATATAATATCTTCCAGTTCTTCATTTGTCAAATGTTACAGAGGCCAGAGGGAATAATTTTTAAAATGGAGGTTCAAGAGGAGAAGAGTTACTTTTCTGAACCACCAGAAATTTAACTGTACTATCCTCTCAACCTAGGCTCTGTAAAAATGTGTCAAAAAGTATGAGTTTTTTTATGTGTGCCAGTGGTAAGCTTCTCTTTGCATGCCCCATTTTCCCAGCTGAAAGGACACAGCAGTCTGTGGTGGCTAGTTTCCTCGCCTTCTCCAGACATTTTGGAAAGCACCCTGTTTGCTTGCGCATTTCAGGGTAGGACATACTATGTAGAGACTGAGGGAGGCATGTATGGAGCTTTCTTTTCCAGAGGCAGCATGTGCAGGCTTTCTGTCCTTTTTTTTTTTTTTTTTTTTGTGCTACACTTTCTGTTAATGCACCTCCTATTCAAAACAGACCAAGGGAAATGCATAAGGATGCAAGGACAATGCAGAGTTGTGTTTTCTTGTACTTTTAAAAAGACGAATGGACTTCCAAATCTCTTCAGGGTTAAAACAAGATTATGATGCAGATCAGTAGCAAAGACACTATTTATAGTTTTGGCTCTAACAGTTGTGAGAGAAGAGGGAAAAGGGAACTTGGAGGCCAAGGAAGGGGAAAAAGGCAGCACGGGGAATACTTTCTTACCTGTCCCACAAGTGGTACATTTGTTAGGTTCACTTCCGCTGCAGTCCAGGCAGGTATGATGGCACAAATGACATTGTCCTTTGAATTCAAACTTTCCTCTGGGGCACTGCATAATGCAGCGGCCATCATCAAAGACTCTTTTGAGACAGAGAGGCATAATTACAAATTTAGCAACTACTTGTTCTTTAAGTTTAATAGAAACTAACAAGAAACCCAAGATATTTTCCCTTCACTTTATTCTCAAGAATCATTTTCCTTATCTTATTTGTAGTTTTTATTAAGCATAAAGCCAACCATATTTTGAACCTGGATCTTAGACTTCAGAGATTAGATTTTTCTGGGAAAAAAGTCACCTTTTGATAGTGTACCTAAATGTCCTTCTACCACAATCCCTGCTGTCATCACTTACGTCAGAAGGAAAAGAAGACAGTCTTTCTCTGTGAAGGAATGATTTGTCTGTTGAAGCTTTTTATTAGTTTTACTTTAAAGTTTTCCTGTGAACAGTGCTATGGCTTCAGTAAAATGACTTTGTACATGAAGCCTAACTTTTCTCTGAATCTTGGCCTTTAGGAGCTGTATTATTTAGACTTGTATATCTGCAAACACTTAGGAGCTTTGCTGCTAGGTGTTCTCTTTTTACTAGGTAATTATTTGCTACAGAATCCTTTTGTCTGATGAAAATTTCTGGTCTATTTTTCACGGCTACTTAATGTCTATGGGTTTTAATCTGTTTGGAAGAAAATTAGAAAAGCATCGCTGAAGATATGATTGTTAAAAGAATATAAAACAACTTGCCTAGAATTTGACAATTTTTTCCATGTTTAACTATTTTGATCTGTCTGGTATCTGAGGACTTGGGAGTCAATTTTTAGAGAAGCTGAGCACCATTCACGATCTTAGTACAGATTCTGAGATCATCAACTTGTCTGTACACTGAGAAAACAGTAGGTTTTCTATAACATTAATATAGTGTATGCTTCCTTGGAGACAGGCAATGACATTAGAAAATGCCTGCAATATGCCTTTGTAAATTTGAATTGCTATAGTCATCATCAGATTTATTCGGAAAGAAGAGGAGAAAAATATCTGCAAAGTTTAAAATCAGTTTTGTCAAATATTCTTTGAAACTATTTAAAATTTATCATGATCGGAAAAGTCTAGCCTTGTATGAAGTGTGAAAACAGAATAATAGGCCGTCATGTAAACAGCCTTCCTGAAGTACATTTAACAAAGAAAACTTGGGAATTGATTAAAAAGAATTGTGAGGCTCAAGGCATGCTGCTGGAGGGAATCAGGGAGAAGCTTTTATGTGCATACAAAGTGCTCAACAAAGATGTATCTCTGCTCTGGAGTCTGACAGTAAGATTTCAGTAAGATTTTCTGATTTCACAGAAACCAACCTGCAACCTACGCAGGTTGGTTTCTGTGAAAATGGGACATTGTGACCGAAGTACTGAAGGTAGTAGGGCTATGCTTATATGACATGCAAATATTACTGTGTTCTACTACCTGTTCTGACTGTAATGGTAGCCATCCTTGCAAACAGCTCACACAGGTGAAAAGTACATTTTTTCTCTGGGCTTTTTTTTTTTTTTTTCATAATGGCAGACATGAGGAGGTCAGACCTTGTCACTAACCTTTCCAGCATAAACATACAGTAAATAGATGGATGAAGAATTCTGTGAAAATCAATTTGGACAAAATACTACAAATTCTACAATTTGCTACAATTGTGGTAAAATTGCTACATATTAAATACAAAATACCACAATTCCATATTTTTTAAAAAACAGGTAACTTCATTTTGCATTTCCAAAGAAGATGTGATTTTGAAATGAAATAAGGTGGCATCTACTGCTGAGTTTTCACAAAGAACAGGGATTGTTCAGTGTTTGCATTTTCACTTTATTTTCAGTAATTCGTCCCCCCCATGTCTTTTCATCCTTTTCAAAAAGGAAAGGCACTCCCCTGTAGAAAAGCAGCACTGCTGATTTGTTTTATCTATTGGCCACTGTCTAAGCCAGACACCACATGAAGCTCTCAAGAGCAACAGGATTTAGGACTCTGTTTCAATTAAATAGGTCTATTTCAGGTACATAATGAATCATGTCCATTGGAAGGATTTACTCTTTTGCCTCTGGATGAGATTTTTCTTTGTTATTATTTCTTTTACTACTGGCCAAGCTAATATGACTTTTTATAATAGCTTTCATAATGTGCAAAGGAGCACAGAAAGCTTTTATAAACCTTAGATACCAAAATTGAAAACTGTCAGAGGATTTGTTATGGGAGAGACAACATCACCCTTCCAAATGGTCAGAGACCTCATTGCTGCAAACACCTAAGTGATTTTGCCTAATGAGGTTTTTCTTTACCTTCTTTGTTTTGCAAATATCTCTGTGTAAAGCTCACAAAATAGGTTGCATGGAAATACACACAATCTGACTTAAACGCAATTGTAAATCAGATAAATCCAGTCTGCAGCACAAAATTCTGTCCAGAGTTCCTGTGCTAATGCCATTTTTGACACAATGCACCTTAATTTAATAATGTTTTCTTAGTGATTAATTTTTTTGGACTCAGTTGGTCCTGGTGAGTCTTTTATTTGAGTAGTCATGCCATAGGGTAAACTGAAGGATTGAGTGGGGATTTTTTTTCTATTCCTTACAGATTACTGATTCTGATTTCATAGTGGTGTAAATATCAGCTGGCTACAATGAAATCCAGTGCAAGAAAGCCAGAGCTGTCAGTGTGAGAAGAAAGATGATTGGCAGGACCTGAGTTTAAAACCATCAAACTCCTGGATTAGGTGTGATATGACCTAAACATAAGCCTCTGCTCTGCAGGGTCCTGCAGAAAACCTTCTTTCTATTTCTAGTCACATCTTATGGTAGGTTAGAAAAATCAGCCTAACTTAAACCTCCTTCGTTAGGGAGCAAAGCTGAAGTGCTATGAATATCTTCTGAATTATGTGATTGCTAGCCTCAGTGTCCATATTCACGCCTTGTACCGAAATCTATACCTGTAGAAAACTGCAGATGCCCTAGACTCTAGCTGTTAAATATGTCACTGTTGTGATTCTAGCAATCATGATTTTGAGAGGATGACAATGAAAGAAAGACTATGTATTAAAAGAAATCTTTCTGTATCTGTGGGAATCATCTGGCTAAATGTCAGCTGCACATGTAGCAAACTATCTTGTTCACATAACACTTGTTTTCTCACTTGCTCTAGTTTTGTTTGTCCTAATCACTTCTTGCTTCTTCAGTTGACTTCACAAGCTAGTGCTAAAGACTATACAGCCATTTCTCTAGATGACAATGCCAGGTCTTTGTCCTACACTGTGCTGGGAGACAATTACCTTGTGAGCGGGCAGCTGATGCAGTTGTCTGGCTCAGGTCCGATGCACTTCTGACAGGATACTTCACACAACTGACATCTTTGGGAATCATCAAGATATTCTCCTGGCAAAAAAAAAAAAAAAAAGTTTACTTCAGATCAACATCTTACATAAAAAAATAATAATAAAAAAAAAGCGAAAATCCAGATTGGAAAATATAATGAGTAAGAGGAATTAGAGCTGTTTGAATTACTGAAATGAGCACATTTCCCTATAGTATCAGGAAAACAAGTACTGGGTCTTTTGGTGAACCAGCATACTCAGAATTAGTAGTTTCTAGCCCTTATTTACTTTCTTATTTATTTATTTACTTATGTTTTCCATGTGACTCTGACAGAGTCATTCTTGTTCAGGTTAATGCTGGTTTTTTGCATCAGTTGAAGTAATGGGAGACTTTAAGATTCACCACGGAGACTTACATCAAAACCAGTGCTACCTAGGTGTATTCATTACCTAATGCCCTTTGGTGGAGCTGCAACATGCTACTGATGGCAAACTGCAGCATAAAGAGTGAGTTTTCATGGGCGTGGGGTATGCTACGTGAGGGGAAGGACAGCTTCAGTTAGTTGGAGGCATGTTGGTGTTTCCCAAACCTCCAGCTATAGCATCTCTTATCCTCCAAGGTTGCTGCTGGAAGACTCCACACTTAAAAAACTTAGGCTCTTGTTTAGGCTGAATGAAAATTTGGAGCCTAAGTGCCTGTTTGTTACCTTAGAACTGGGATAAGGATATAAATACTTCCAGTACTAAATACTGTGGTACCAAAGAGCAAAGTTTTCTTCATTATTCACTAAATATTAATTAAACTATTGGTAGAAACAGGTAAGCTATATGCTTCATAACTCTCAGAGCAGAAGTATTAATTAGGTAACTAGCATTAATACTGTATCAGTGTGCAGCATTGTGTGAAGACAGTGAATTGGTTTCTCATGCAGTTTTATAAAGCTGAAGATTTTTTTTAATGTCTATTTGTTACAGGAAAGTTTATTCTGAGTGTCTGTGTTTGAAAGAATTGTCTGTGCCTTCATTCATAAGTAATGGAAGAGGTTGGGCAGATACTGCTATATAATAAATATAAATAAATATCCATAAACCCTGAAGTTTGTATGGATACTTCAACAGGGAGAAACTCTTTCCCCTTACTTACATTGCTGGAGGGAAAACAGATTTGGCAAATGTGGTGAGCTTTAAGAGTCAAAATACAAATGTGGAATGACTTGGTTTTGGCTTTCAGTTACAATGAGTTCCTAACATTGAAGAGCAAATGCACTGTATAAGCAACTATTGCTGTAAGTGTAAAATGATATAGGAAAGAAATATATTCTAAAATACAGCAATTTACATTCTCTGTCCTTTGAGTTTTCTACACCTTATCAATCTGTATTAAAAAAATTTACAATAGTTGAAATCTCTAGTATGAGATGTAACCTAGGATAGTACTTATGCTTAAGGGGATGGAAACAGTATAAAGGCATACAACTGGAACGTCCATCCAACAGTGGGAGAAAGCTGAGGTACACAAAATGTAGGTATAGATATAATTTTTATTTTGTAAAGGCTGTGTGTTTCCTGAAGAAAGGAAAAAGGTAAAATGCAAGCCAAAAGCCAGTGACAGAGCCACATAAAACACGAAGTGCTCCACAGAAGCTGCTCTGGGATTAGTGGTAACTGGGAAGAAGCTCAGAACCAGGAGCAAATTAACAGTCTCTTGATGAGATCGGGGAAACAAGTATGTGTAAGCATACACACATAATTTTATTGTTCTCATTATCCAAAAAGCATTCAGTATATGTCTGTATTTACACACATTTATGTAACCCCACACATGCCCATTTGGCAAAACCTTGAATTGCATATTGTCATATGCATATTGACATATGCAAATTGACATAATCCAATGGAAGTGGTGTCGCTTTTAGGCACTGCAAGACTGTATCTTGTATGATAGATTAATTTATAAACAACTGATGATAAAAACATGAATTGTACAGCTGTTTGACATAGAACTCAGCAGGATTTTGAATTTATCCAGATATTACTGAGATAAGATGTTGTGTTGATGAATAACTATAACAATACAGAGTATTTATATTTCTCACTTACTAGGAAAAAAAGCTGTGGCCTGCTGTCTGGTAGGATCATCAGGCCATTGACAGATTTGTTTAGTGTAGACCTCTTGAGCCTTTGCAATACGTATTCAGAGGGTATAACATGGAATGCCATGAGATTTTAAAATATAATTTAATACATATATATATACATGTATGTATTTGGACAATACACAGCCATGAAAAAATGCAGTATCTGGAGTGTCTTCCTATTACAGGTCTGGTGGCTCTGTGCTTTATTCTGGTAGATTTACATCATCAGGCCAACGTTATTAAATAAAGGCTTCTCTGATGCTGTTTTGTGATACATCTTAGAAAACGTTTTGTTTCTCCAGTCCTTCCCTTTATTTGCCCTCACTGCCTCTGTGCTTATCCATCAGACCTGAGCTACTAATTCATACACCTTGGCTATGCCAAATCAAATCCTTCCCACATGGTAGAAGCGCTTAGTTTTAAAAGGTTTTTATTATTTCTTTGTTACGCCTTTCATTGGAAGTGCTGTAATTCATTTCAGCTGGGTTGGAGCAGCGCCAGGAAGACCAGTCCTCTGCTTACTTTATCCTCGAAGCTGAAGTATTGTAAAGCATACTATTATAAGAATGTGCACCAGAAAATACTTACATATCAGGCCGTCTGAACTGCAAGTCACACCTAAAACTGTAACTCTGTCACTAAATGTTAACAAAATAGTTTTTAGTGTATATTCATGGAGTTCACACTGAAGAGCAACTTTAAAGAAGACTTTTAAAGTATTCCACATGTTAGTTTAACTGTTTGCCAGAATTCCTTGTGGGCAAAATATTTCTTTACACATCTTGCTAGACAAATGCTAGTTACCAAAGCCTCAACTTTTTTTTTTGTCTTGTTTTTTTTTAAATCTGTATTTAGGTCTGTTGTCTGTCCAACATACGTATGGGGGGAATACTCTCAGCAATTTGTCTCAGCTATGCCTTCAACCAGACAATGCTGTCATGTCATGATCCTCCCATATTTAACCTTCATTTGTATCTCAGTTTTGTTACCTTGCTACCTTGTTTAAACAAACCCCAAACAAACAGGAACTGAAGGTATTATAGAAATACGACTATGTTAACAGACATAATGCCTCATAATGGGAAGATTTTAATGTAAAATTTTTAATGTCCCTAGTTGGAAATGTCTTTAGCTGTATATGAGAACTGCACACTTGGGCTTAGTTCTTATCACTTCATATGATGCATTTTAAAATGAGTTAAGGACTATTAAATCCCATCAAGGAGGAAGAAAAACTGAATTGCAGTGAGATTGACAAGTTAGGGTGTCATAGCAAACTAGAACTCTAGTCTGAGTCCCAGACTAGAGCACTGTCATAATTTCCAGGCCATTGCTATGTCCTTGCATAAGCAGCATTAAGTGTACAGCTTAACTATTTTTAGTTAACTATTTCTCTCCTGCTTTCCAAAAGCTGTGCCATTCATTGACAGCACATGGTCTTTCAGGAAACCAGTTGGATGAGGGTGTAAATATCCTTCTAAGATATGAATGGAGATAAACAGTTTTGTGTGCTGGCAGTCATAAACAAATCTTTCTCTTGTAGCCCTCCCATGAGACTTAGTCACTGCAAGTCATGTGTTACTTCCCCATTTTTCTTAATCAAAACATCACATTATCTAATTTTAAAATGTTCATTGATTATCTTCTATAGCACTGCCCCAGTGGCTTTTCTTTATAGTCAATGAAAAAATGACCTTATTTCTTCCCTTTTGCTCATTTACTTTCATGGGAACTTGAAATGGATTTTGTACTTGGGGTTTTGTATGTGTAATCCATGGGTTACAAAAGTTTTACAGAGCAAATAAAGAAACATTGATCAGAATTGTTTTTATCAATAAGCAGCGAGGACTGAAAGGATTTAGTCTTAAGGAGCTCAATGCTTTTTCCATGTCTGGGCTTGATACATCTTGTTTTGGCTGGCTTGTGGGATCAGCCCCTTGAGTTTTGCTGAAGAAATATTTATCCATAAAGCTTAAGGCCGTACAGACTAATCTCTGTATAACAAGCCATTAAAGTTCACCCTGAGGATTCCTCTTGAAGCTACTTCTTTGTTTAGCCCAAAACCTTAGTGTTTGATAGATTACAGCTCCCTGAAATAATCTTGTCTCCATTTTAAAAATGTTAGGATATTTCCCCCCCCCCCCCGCCCCCCAATTTTGGGCAGTCATACAAGATTTGAGCCTGGTTTCCAATTATTTGTCTAGCTTCAGCTTTCATTCTCCTGCTAATTATTCTTCTCCACTCAGTCATTTTACACATTGACCAAATTTCTGCCTTCTTATTTGGATGTGCAGAAGGGATAAAGAAGATACCCTTCATGAGCAAAACTTTGGGGTGTAAAATTTGAGGTAATCAGAGGGATTCAGGTTTGGAAGTCTTCTTTTCAGAAGTGCTTTGGGCAGTGACAAACCTGAAGGCTGAAATTAGGATATTGGCTCCAAAGTCACCGAATCTCCCCCTTTTGCCAAGGGACAAGGCAGAAACTTGAAAAGGGCTGAACATCTCTACCCTGAACAGTAGTGTGTAGAGCTGAGTGTGATATAATGATTTTAGGATGAAAGACCCTTTTGTTGCAGGATTAGCTGAGATCACACTGAGCCTCAGGTTAGCTTTGATTGTGACAGGCAGGAGAGAGGCAGCTGCCTTTATCAACCACACTATCTTACACAGCCCTCTATTCTTTCCCCTGCAGAATAAAAATATTTACATTAGCCAAAGCTGGCTTTTTTGCTGACACAAAGGGATTTTCTCCCCCTCTTTATTCTGTGTATTTCTTTCTTCATTTCTATGTAGTATTTATACAATGGTTGTTTCAGAAACTCACTGAAGTCAGAGTCCTCAGGGGTACTGAGTGGACATAAATAGACCCCAGAAAGACATGTTTTTAGAATTTAAAAAATCAGCTTTAAACCTCCATTTGTAC